GGGCATTGGAAAGGGTGATTTCATTTTCTATTAACAGACATGAGAACCTGTTAGCACCCAGTGATGGAGGCATACACCTACCTCATCTGTTGCTCAACTAAAAATCCTCCTCCAGCTCCAGAGGTGATGCACATGTGCTAATCTTCTCCAGGGTCAACTCTGAGTTTGGCTCATCTGATGACAGAGCTCCAGTGGCATCTTTTGCAGCCAGCAGCTGCAGAAGGAGTTCTTCCTGCTCTGCCATGGAGAGGTAACATACCTACAGACCCAAGGAGCAGTGTTGTGCAAAGTGCCCAGGCTTTTGGCATCTCTGGCATAGTAGTAGCACAGCATAGAGCTGTCTGGCTGCATCCACATCCATGGGAATACCCAGTAGCAGGGGTCATGTTGTGAGGATGGCAGGAGTAGGGGCCAGTGTAGAGTGAACAGGTGTGAGGTGGTGGGAACTGGTAACCAGAGCTAGGTGCAGCATGGAATGTGGGTGGTGGAGCTCTCTCCAGATCTCCATGAGTTGTTACTGATTCCAGGCCACCTTGTACCATGAAGCAATCTTCTTGTTGTCCAGGCAGCCCTCTGCAAGATTGTCAATGCATTCCACCAGCATGGGGTGCAGGCCATCCCAGAAAGTGAGGCATAACTAAAGGCCATTGGGGTAGGCAGCCTGCTCAACTAGAGCCCAGAATGAGTCAATGTACTCATCCAGCATATGCTTCCCTTGCCCATATTGCTCCCTGTCACATAGTGTTAAGGCCATGGTCTTGGTGGGGTCTAGCAGGAAGAACTCTGCATGGAAGTCCTTCTTGAAGGTGGCCCAGTCTGGGAAACTTCCAACACCTCTGGAGCAACAGAAAACTTGTAATGCATATGTGGAGGCATGTCTGGTCTTCATGTATGACAGTACCCAGGCTATTTTCAATGTGTCAGAGTCAAAGGTGTCCCTATTGAGGTGGATGTAGGTGAGGCAGGATTGGAGGAAACATTTCCTGCTGGAGCAAGCACCATCATATGCATCTGGTAGTGTGGAGCATGGAATCTGTGGCTGTAGGGTCACCGGAGCTATGGGGATGAGTGCAGATGCAGTTGGGGCTGGTTCCACAGCTAGGGGAGGTGTGGGGGTAGGAGTTAGGCATTTTAGCAGTGCCTGGAGTGACTGGGAGATAAGATCTGTGGTTTGGCAGAGGGTAGAGAGTTTGGTCGTATGGTAGGTAAGAGATGATTGCATTAATTGCACCTGGGTTTCTAGGTGTAGCAGGTGGGTCCAGGCTTTGTCCTGTGGGGCCAAAGCCTCCAAGGGTGTGTCTGAGTTGGCAAGCTGAGACATAGAATTCTGTGGTGCTTAATCCTGGTGGAGAAGTGACAGATAGCAGCTTGGAAGTCCTTGCAGCTATGAGGAGCTTCCAGACCAGTTTTGGAAGACTTGCTTTGCTGTAAGGGCAACCTCCAGAGAGAACAAGTCTAAGGATCCCCACTGCTTGGCATAGCACATCAGTGGGTGGCAGAGGCATGGGAACTACTGTACAGAAGGCCAGAGCTAATTCCCAACCCTAGGACAATGATTGGTGAGGTAATATGGAGAACTCTGCAGTTCTCCAGAGATTTCTGGGGTTCTGGAATGAGCTCCAGAGATGTCAAACAAGTTGTGAAGATGCTGGAATAGGTCGCAAAGGTCAGAAATGGAAGTCCCCTGACACTAAGCTCCCACCTTGAGCCAGCCATAAACCTGGTAGCAATGCCATACTTTTGCTCCTTGGTCAGATTGGCACTGCCCTTGAAGCCCTCAAGTCTTCTGATGATGTGGCTGCAGTCCCTTATGTTGAACTGCAAAACAGCATGAAGTCATAGATTTCACTGCCCAGCAGCAGCTATTCATCCTTGACATTGCTTTGCAAACTTTCAAGCCCATTTTCAACCACCTCACTCATCTGGACAAAGCCCTCAGCTCTTCTGACATTAACAAAACTAGTGATCTCCTCAATGATCTCCTCCTCAATGATCTCCAAGTTTTGCCTGAAGTAAGATTTTCTGCTGACTCTGTATATCCCATTTTATTTACTGGGACCCAAGATTGTTAATTCCAACTCCAACATCAAGTTCACAGGTCCTTCCTTAGATAATTACCATACTGCTGCATCCCCCATTGCACTGTAAGCATCAGCTCTGCCTTTGCCTTAGATAGCATAGCCCCCCCTCTTTTGTCTAGAAATTGCCCCCTACACATCTTTACTCTGTAATTCCCCATAATCAAGGCCATTAACCCCAAAAAATGTGTGACTTTAATGAGTTTTTACTTATTTTTGTTTTTACTAAGTAAAATTCTCAAGTTTTCTGTCAATCTTCAGGGCTGCTTTCTGACCCACCCAAGTCATGGTCTAGAGGCTTGTGAAGCCTTGTAGAACCAAATAAAAGGTCTGGTATAGCATTTCCCACAGGCCTTTGTGGTTCCTCCTTCAACTCTTTTAACTTTTCTGGAGGGATATTCACCCATTGCTCTATGCTTTGGGATAGCTCCAATTGTTGCCAAGCTTTGTCAGGGACTCCTCTAAAGGCTGCTACCCTGATCTTCCAAACTGACCCATCTAATTCTGTCACAAAATAGTTAGTGGCTTTATAAGTGACCTTAGCAATGCTGCTAGGATATGTAGCAAGTGCCTGTGGAAAGTGCCTGTGGAAATTGTTATATTGTCCAAGTGTACCTGATATGAAATAAGTTACTGTCCGGGAGCTGCATCACTACAATTTGCTTGTGTGCTTGTGAGCAACAGTGTGGGGGTGAAGGATTTGAGAAAGCACGTGATGCCCTATCAAAGTGCGGATTTCTCTCGGCAGCTCCCTCGGCATCTGCTTTTGTTAGCGAACGTGGACAATAGTTCCAGCCCGAGTCAGCCTCTTTATTCTCATTCTTACTGTTGTCTTCCTTGCACTTCTTATCTTGATGACCAATGCTTGTAGCACAAAGCGCACAATTATTTCTGGTAAGTGTACATGTTACTTTGATGTGCTCGAAAGAATCCTCATCGGCAGATATGCGACACGAGCAGATTCTACATTCGATGACCTCTTGCATTACTTCAAATATGCGTCTTCGGCTTATAGTCGTCTGTGCCCACGCCCAAACGGGAACACACTGGTCTTACATGCGCGTTTTTGCCATTTTCAGCACAATAATCACGTAGCTGATTGAAAAAACTAATCGCGCCGTAAAACAGTTCTCCAATGAGCTAACAGACATTCAAGGATTTGTTGCCAGAGATTCACATCGGAAAGAGATTATTGTTGCCCTTCGTGGAAGGTGACTTGTTGAATTCATGCTGCGTGGATTCTAGCACCTCAATACAGGGGTCGTCTTTAGCGCTTCCCTAATTAATTTCCTGCTCGATGGTCAGCTGCTTCTCGTACCATTGGTAATTCCAGGTGTATCTGCTCCAGGTGAGCAATATCATAGGTCTATATGATCTCCATGTCGACCACAGATTAGTCGGTGTACGAGTGCATAGCGGATTTTTGGCCGCGTAAGAGGCAAAAGTCTGCTAGTGTACGATACTGATATTCGCTCTTGTATCTAGCTGGAACTCTGTCGTGGCACAAGTTTTGCTTGTCGTGACACAACAAATAAAATCACACCCTGGATTTGCAATAGTTACGGTGGGTCATTCGCTCGGGGGCGCGTTGGCTACTCTTGCAGCAGTTACTTTGAAACACAACTTCCTCGAAACGTGGGTTAGTAGTGGCAATGATGGTTCGGGACACAATCATCCCCAAGATACTAATAGAGAAGTTCGGACGTATTCGTACGGTGCTCCCAGGCTCGGTGTACGTCTTTCGTGACGTGTCATATGTATCTTTTCTTGAAGTGGTCTTCCTAGAATAAAGAATTTGCCGAGTATGTAAACTCAGAGCTTGGAACAAGAGCTTTTCGGGGTAGGTAGACAAGTTTCTCCGGTTATGAATTCTAACATGTACACAGTGGTTCACACGACGGACGGGTAGTTTACATTGCTCATGTCTTTCCTGAAATTGATTTCAATGACAGGGTTCCTACAGTTATACCAGTCTCATTAGGATACCACCATCACGGTAATAATAATTCATTTCAGATATCATCAGCTGATGTTCGGCCATCATTTTCCTAGGGATTGAATATTGGTTGAGCGCAGATCCTGCATCAAAAGATACAACATTTTTGTGTTGTCCAGATGGGGAGGATCCGACTTGCTCGGCTTCAATACCTTCTCGTGGAGTGACCCCAGCTCATGCCATAGTCTGTCATTTCAATATTCGAGTTTTGTGGCTCTGATGGATAAACATAGTATTTTGGTATCCCAATCCCGACACCATTTTGCCTTTGAATACCGATATCTTCCACATAATCCTCATAATCATACTTCCATGTGGCCATAAGCAATGCGAAATTCTGTAGCGACCAGAATAACAACTACTACTACTGCGAGCTGCCAGACTTCAAAAACGCTAGGGTATAAATCCGAGGTGTCGCGAAAGAAATGTCTACAATGATGTTGATTGCTGTAGCCAGCTGCAGATCCCATACACTTTGTTGACCTTGCCTAGCTCCGGCCCCATTTTGTTCGGGCTGCTCCTCGTGTGCAAGCCAGTTTATTTAGTCCGTGTTGTTCTTTGCAAGATGTCATCCAGTCACACATACTCGAGTACTTCGAGAAAATAGACCACCTCTATTCCTTTTGACTAATCTTTATTCTTCAAAAAGCTAACTGAAATGTCACTTTCCACTAAGTATCGTGTTCTGTCCAGATCAATCAGAAGATCTTCTCTCCTCTACTTGCATGCTATTGTCACATCATTGAAACTGGGTCCTGACATCAATGTTGACATGTCATCTTATCCTTGACCCTCTTTTTGATGTAGCCTCAACTCAACTAGGGGTTGCTCAATTCTTGTGGTACAGTTCAGTACAGTTTACAAATGCCGGTGTCTGGGAAGACATAAGGGAACTATATATTTATCAATGATTAGGTTGTGAACAACCGACTTTAGCTCAGTTGGTAGAGCGCAAGACTGTAATGGTTATGACGTTCATATCTTGATGCCGCCTGTTCGATCCAGGCAAGTCGGATGTTCATATATTTTTCGGTAAGTGGCTTATTTGAGGGATATCAAGAGCAAAAAGGACATTTCCCCCCCTAATGTAGCACTCTCGGTTGTGGGGAAAAGTATTCCAAAAATCCATCTATGTAAAACAGGTCCTACGATATTAGCTTGCTGAGGGTAGCAACATGCACATCCCGCTTGCTAACTAAATCAGCATGTGTCATCAATCCCCGTAACTCGACTTCGAGCTGCAGAAAGAAACCTTCATCAGCGCAAAAATGAAAGATAGGAGTAGATTATGCACCTGAAGGACCTTGTCTGCTTCCCACATCCTCGTAGGCAGATTCTCCAACGCCACATAAACTGCAGGTATCGATTCGCACTGCAGAAGCTCCTGTTCATTACTGCGTAGGATGCCGAGCGCGACACGGAAGAGGACATCAAGCCCATCTACAAGAAACACGTCCCATACACGGAACAGCGTCTAACACAGGTCACTGAATCAGCCCTGGAGAGAAAGCAAGAATCTAAAGATGACTCACCTCGACGGGCAGACAGTCCGTGAAAAGCGACAGAAACCACGAGAAGCATATCGCAGCCAAGTCGACACCAAGCTTGGTCAAATGGGCATGGAGTTTGGGCATATGCTCCTGCACATAGTCGAGAAGAACGAGGGGACATGCACGCGAAGGGAGAAGAGACGGCGTGAAAAAATCTTCAGGCAAGATTCGTTCAACAATGGCCGCTAGCGTCCAAAACGCCTCCTCCTCATCTGCATGCACGAGCAACAGTGTCGAAGTGATCAAATTCATGCCCTGGCAGTACCCCACAGCAGGACTGCGTCTAGACAAAAAAATACATAAGTATCCTACCGACAGATTCTGAGTGAACCATCAGACTCACCGACTATAGGCAACCAATACCCTCCTCAACTTATCCACCCCCATTCCATCACCTCCAAAAAATACATTCAACGGCATAGTCCTCCCTACATCCTTCTCAATTTCCCCTTCCACACCCGCTTTTCCCTCCTCCGTTCCCCTTTCTTCCAAAAGATCCCTAAACACCCCCGGCTCACGCATCTCCAACGCCCCACTACACTCCAGCCACACCTTCGCGCGATACACGAGCGGAATTCCATTCCTCACAAGCCTATCAAACACTCTCCGCTCATCCCGGCTTGCCGAAAGCCCAAGCTGTGCAAACCCAATGAGCCCTTCGCTATGCGCGAGCTCCTCGTCTTCGCATGCAGTTCCGAGACCCAAGATTGCGGCTGCGCCTCCGTCAGCAGATAGTGTAGCTGGTGCGGGACCCGCAGGGTGCGGTTTGAGTAGTCTAACTTTACTCCGCTGGCGAACGAAAACGTCCCATTCGCGTCGTTGGACAGTCTGTCTTGCGTCATGGATCGATGTGAGTTGATCAAGCAGCCTCCGCATGGTGTTGGCGCAGACGTGTCGCGGGGTATCGGGAGTGACGTGGAGTACGGATGTCATAGACGTCGCAGCGATCGATGAAGAAGTGAGCGTCGACGAACGCTTCCGGCTGTTCGACGAGGACTGCGATTTCGTGCTGGGTGCTATGGACTGCTCATATACGCTAGCCGTGTCATTCGTCGTCGTAGGAGGCTGCAGCGGCGGTGGGGATTCTCCGTCACACGTACAATTCTCCTTTACAACCTCAATCACATCTTTCACCCCTTCCCCCTCATCCTCCCCCTCCTCCCCAGGCCAACTATTATCTTCCTCCCGATCTGCAATCTTGACACCCGTAAGACATGCCGGTGCCGTATTCCCGCACTCCCTCGCCCTCATCAGCAAAAGCACGTCATACTGCGACACATCATACATAAACCCATACCGATCCGTCAGAGGCCTCTGGTTCTTGTCATCGTGATACACCTTGAACTTCGCCGCGTTCTGTGGGAGTGGTATTGAGAATCTAAACTCCCTTGATGTGAGAGGCGTGTAGGTGCGAGAGAGGTATTGCGTCGGAGGTTTAGATATGGCTGGTATGATCGACTCGAGCGGAACGGATGCGGGCTTCTTCACCGATGGCCCATTCACCTGTGCATAATGTGTGCCTGCCGTCCCAGCACCTCCCTGCCGCACCTCCTGATTCGTCGTCCCATGTCCGTGTCCATGTGCCTTATCCACGGCCCCAGCCTTGCGCTGCTGCTGCGGCAAAAACGACCCAAAAATCGGCGACGTAAACGGCGTAGCACCACCTTGCCTGCTCGATGATACCTTCCTATTCTTCTCCATCTGATGAATCAACGCCCGACTAAGCGTCATCGTCGCATCCGTCCCGTCCGACGGGCTGATAATAGGCGTAGGTCCATGCCGTTTCGACCCATCATCGATAACCTTAAATTCTCGCCGCTCTTTGGGCCAGTCGCGGAAAGTGATAGCTTGGTCACGAGCGTGCGAGATGAGTTCGAATGCGAGTTGGGCTATAAGAGGGCTGGTGTATCGTCCCGAGTCGGCGAGGACACTTGCAGGCCCTGTTGTCATGACCCGTGTGGCGTTGGCGATGGCGCGGAGGGAAGAGCCTTGTATGCGTGGAGGGTCGTCCGTAGTGGGCGTGGCTATAAGGGCTTGTGGTGGTTGTTTTACTTCTGTGAGATCCAGTGAGGTTGTGAGCTGGGGTGGGGCGAGAGGTACGAAGCTGGGTTGTATCGGTGATGAGATAGCTGACGCGACATTAGACAAAGTTGAGGGTGTTGCCCGCGTCGAGAGGGTGGACTCTGTATCTGAGCTCGCCGCAGTCACGGGCAAACCAGGGGGATCAAATGTGTTCGGTCGTTTTTTCGGCGTCGCCGGGTTGAGCAAGGTGATTCCGAGGGTATTAAACACGCTTTTCGTGGCCTTGCTACTATCGGTACGGTGTGGGGGGGCCGGCATATCGACCGAGGGCTCTTCGGACGTTGGTGGATCTTTGTCCGATTCGGTCTGCGAACCTGTCCCGCTTCGAGAGCGGGACTTGCCCCTGGAACCGTTACCAAACCAGCTATTCATCCACGAAAGGCGTTCTTGACGCTTTTGGCTGGGTATCGAAGTGAGATCGTCGCGGCTTTCTCCTGACTCCTCTGTAGACTCTGGTATAACGGTGTCTGGAACAGTAGAAGTGACTTGATCATTAAGCACGAGGGTGGTTGGTTGGGCGAATTGATCTGCAGATCCGATTGCAGAGTCTGACTCTTCTGGCATGATTGTAAGCACTGATGTCTCCGTAAGACTGGTACTAGGTATAAATGAAGTATGGTCCGCGAGAGCTTCACTCAGTGATTCAGTTAGAGACTGAAAAATCCTGAGCTGGACTCGAAAAATCGGACGCTGTATAGCTTACCAGTAAACTCGGTTGCCGTTGCACTTGATGCTGAGACTCGTTAGCGTCGGCGAACAGTGACTGTATAACGCGTTTGGCAACGTCCTGTTCAGAGCTCGGCAGTTCTTTGAGAAGTGCTTCTGCCCTCTCACGTCGCGCAATCTCCTTTTCCTGTAATGTCCTCCTATTCTCCTCTAGTTCAATCCTAGCGCGTGACAAATTATGAAGCGCCGAGGAAAGTATTCGAAGTGCTGTATGGTAGGGATGATCTACTGCTTCAGCGGAAGATTCGACTCCACCAATGTTCGAGATAGCACTTTGGATGGCGTCGTCCGAATACTTGTGCCATTTGGTGGCGAGAACCCGAGTCGTAATATTTGCACCGTATACTTCTTCGTCCGAATCGCTGGTAACGATGACATCCGGATTCACGATGCTCGAGCGACGAGGAGTAGATGACATGAAGTCCATGGACGATCCGACGACGAAGACGGATGCAGTACCATTTGGCTGGCTCCACAGCGTGGACAAGTCTTTCGACCCATTTCCATTAGTTCTATCCTTGTTTCCTTTTCTATAGCGCACACTGCCATCCCAATTCGCTTTGCCAGGGTCATCAGCCTGGAGCTGAGCGTGAGATGAATGATGATTAGTCGGTTGCCGTTGGCGTAAATCTATATCTGTCTGAGTCCGAGCGCGTCGACATCTAGATGCATTATCATCCGGAGAGAGTGGATGCAAGTGCACTGGAGTCTTCATCTGCGACGTTGCCATGTATTAGTAGATCCTCGAAATGGCGAGACCCCAGCCTCGCATAATCTAAAGATGCCCAGCCTCGTGGTGATGTTCCGGGCTTTCTCGCCGCGCAAATCGTGATACGGCACGTTTTGCGCCTCAATTACGCGTAGCCAAGACGACTCAAAGGGATTAATTGTGTTGGCTGTGGACGCCGAGGAACACCCGTCTCCCGTGAAGTCGAGCATTGTTTGTCCTCATTTTGACGCGTGGGCGGCCCCAACTGCCCAGCGATCTCTTCGCAGCCTCGTCCATCTCAAGCCTCGTTACAAGTTGCGTGCTCTGCTTCACTGCGGCTTATCATTGAACTCCATATACTTACAGTGGAGGAAGCAACCTCTGGGTCCGATTCTGATTACTCCAGGTTCGTCTGATAATCAACTGTTCTCTGCGACCGAGATCAAACCATTTCCTCAGCTCGGTAGGGGCTTTCAGGGTTTCGTCACCATCGCTGCTCACTAGGCGATACAGTGGATATCTTGGTTTCTATCTTCCAAAGGCAACGAGTACTTTTGCGAGGTCGATGAAGACTTCATTCTCGATCGTTTCAATTTGACTGGTCTCAACAATGAAGTAACCAATTACTCTCAGGCTCTCGACCTCATCACCGACAATTTGGGTGAGTACTTGTTCTTTATACTTTCTTCAACTCGACTCAATGTGACCACATAGACGACGAAATTCAAGACGAACTACGAGGCTCTCTCGACGTCCAAGCCCGTCTTCTGTACGGGCTCATCCACGCCCGATGGATCGTCACCGCGCGGGGCCTACAGAAAATGGTGCTCTCGACCTCTTCTCTCTAAAACTGCCTCTAACCTTCCCAGATTGAAAAATACAAACGCGCCGACTTCGGACGATGCCCCCGCGTATTCTGTCAGCTTCAGCCCCTCCTACCCGTAGGTC